CTCTGGAGAAGAGTTCTGGAGGAGGACGACTCTGGGTGTTAGAATTGCTCTGGAGGAGAAGAACTCTGGAGGAGAAGAGATCCAGAGGAGAAGTGCTCTGTAGGGGAAGTGCTCCAGAGGAGAAATGCTCTGGAGAAGAGTTCTGGAGGAGAAGGGCTCTGGAGAAGGGCTCTGGGTTAGAAGTACTCTAGAGGAGAAGCACTCTAGAGGAGAAGCACTCTGGAAAAGAAGCACTCTGGAGAAGAAGGACTCTGGAGGAGAAGTAATGGGTGCACCTTCCTGTCCAGCATCTTCATGTCCACCTGCTCCAAACACAGTTTTATAAAAAGGTCTGTCTGCATTTTGGCAAATATGATGCTCATTTGGGTTTGGATATTTTCACAGAATCTGCATCTTCTAGGGTGATCAGATTTCTTTACAAAGTCTGCCTATTACCTAACAATAGTTCAGTCCTTAGGAAAGCAAATTCACGAGACCTGGAGTGTCCTGCTCAGAATCACGAGGGCTCTCCTGTGACATTTGGGATGACAAGCCAGGGGACTCGTTCCCGTGGCTGTGCCCTGTCTACTTAGGAAGGTATGATCAGCCTTCCTCCCTCCATTCCTGGCATCTACTGGGCCTCACCGTGCCCCACATGTATTGGAAGAGTTTTCAGTTAAGCTGATGAACTTTTCATCTCTCATTGGTAACAAATTTTGCTAACCGGTCAGCTCTAATCAGTCTTGCTTTCTGGCACTGATAATCCCCAGGGGCCTGTGAACCAGCCCTGAACCACGCAGCCCCCACAGTGGCCGGAAGTTCCCGGTCAGTTCATCCTCTAAGGAGGAGGTAACTCCAGGGCAGCTGGTTGGCATGATTCAAGAGAAAGGGGACATTCTCAGGGCAACAGGGCACTGAGGGAGGCAGAGGGGCCAGGCCCGTGTCCCCTGAAGAACTTGGGGCCTTTCATGTGGGCGCAATTGGCAAGCACAAAGCCAAGGCCTGGGGAGCGCGTGGGAGGTCAGGCCGTTGGTGGGGAATGCTTCACAGCTCTTCCCTGAAGCCCACGTTTATCTGCTACAAGGTGAATGCCCTCCACCTGAGGAAGTCCAGGGACCTTTCTCAGTCTTCCATGTATCCCTCTGATGGCAAAGGCCACCATTTAGCCGAGGAGTGAAGACACCTGTTGACTCCAGTTGGCCCTTGTCTGCTATCGCTGTGACACCCTGGAAGGCAGCTGTGGACTGGAGAAGGAGAGCAGGGCCGCCTGGCCACCTGAGAGGGCTGTGTCCTGCCCGGGGTCTGGCCACTCTCACACTCCCTGCTCGTCAAAGGACGTGGAGATCCAGCCCTTCCCACCACTAGAGGCACCGTGAGGGGCCAATGACGGGGAAAGGTTTGCAATTCCACAAACCATCTCCACGGGTGTATCTACAGGTATTGTATACACGGTTCGTAAAATCAAAGTCAGATGAAAGTCAGCATAAGGCATTGCTTTACTCTTCTCATCTCAGCAGATACAAAATATGTCTAACTCTAAAGTCCAATCTGAGAAGGTGCAGAAATGGGTTTAATATTAATTGTGAGAAAATACAGGTTCCTTGTGTGGAGTTGGGGGATCACCTTACTTTAGCATTGGGAGCCTGGTTCTGCTCCTCTAGGAAGGCTGGCCTTGCCCTGGCTGGCACCTGTGCCCACCCTGAAGGCTGACGGCGTCACTTCCACCCATGGGCATCTCCAGGTGGACGTCCCGGGTGCCATGAGGGATCTCTGTGGTTCCTCCCTCCCTCCGAGGCAGAGGATGGGAGGTGGCGGGTCCCTTCTGCTCCTGCCTCCGCTCTGAGCCAACCGTTCCCCTCACTGTAGCAAAAAGTTACAATGTGGGACTGAGGCTGATCAAAACTGCTACTTGTTCACAAAAGATTCTTTTAGAGAAATTTTAAGTTTCCTCATAACTTCTAGCAAGCACACACGGTGTTTCATTTCTTCACTGAACCTGACTTGTTTTTCCAGGACGTTCTGTTCATGTCAGTTAGCGGTGAACCACACAGCCTCCTACACTGCCCGTCTTCCACACCCATCCAGGTGAACGTTTTGATGTTGTTTAAATGACATTTAGTTATCTCTAGTTTCCCTAAATACTTTACAAACTGTTTTTCTTAAAATTATACATGGACACTCATAAACACTGTGTAGTGAATTGCCTTTTTTAACTATCAAGATATATTTTACATTCTTTTAACCAAACTAAAGCTACTCAAGAAGAAGAATTACATGTTTGTTTGAACTTAAATGTGGCCATTTAAGAACTTCTGACCACATGGTGATTCTACTAGGGGTCTCCAGAGGAATAGACCAAGAGTCCACATGTCCCTGTTCCAGAGATTCAGAGATGGAGGGAGGGGCAGAGGTGAAGAGGGAGAAAGAGACAGGAAAGGGAGCGGAGAGATGGAGGGGCGCTGGCCCACCGGCCACCGCAGGTCTGTGGTCTGCAGAGCAGGCCCTCAGGGTGGCTGGGGGCCCAGGGAGGAGCTGGGGTCGGAGTCTCCATCTGAATCCCAAAGGTCAGTGGCTGAAAACCCAGGCAGGTCTCTGTGTTGAGGTGGACAACCCCACATTTTCTCTGAGAGTCTTCAAACTTGGCTCTAGGGCCTTCGGTTGACTGGACAAGGCTCACCCAGTGGGGAGGGCGGTCTGCTTTCCCACTGATTAGAAGGTGATCACATCTAACAATTCCTTCACGGCCACCCAGGGCTGGCGTTGGACCTGACAACTTGGCACAGTGGCCCAGCCACACTGACACTAAGTCGACCGCTCTGCAAGCACCAGGCCCTCAGGGAGTCTGCAGGGGCAGTCTCCTTAGGAGGCCGCAGCTCCGCCTGCCCAGCAGCACAAGGTTCCCGGGGCAGCGCCTGCCAACTGCAGTTCAGTCTGGCCCCAGGCCCTGTGCCGGTCAGCCTCTCCAGCTGTTTTGCTGTGACTGCCTGGACCAGTGGACGCTGTGGAGCCACAACATGCGCTTGCAACTCTAAGTGGAGAGAGAGGCGCCGTCCACTGAGCTCACTGACTGGGTCCTGCAAGAGCCTTCTCCCCTGGGCGCCTCTCCAGCCTTCAGGGAAAGCAGGACGCTCACCCCTAGACCTGAACCACAAGCGCACCTTGCTCTGGAAGTCCTGAAACCAAACTGGTCTCCAGCTGCTTGCTACTGGAAAGATGTGGAAGATGCTCCTCCACCTGAGGCCAGCAGGTGTGCGTGGAGGCAGGAAAGTCGGGCAAGTAGAAATGGTGGCCTCTATCTCTCAAAAACATAAGGTATTATAGTTTAGTGGGGGTGATGGAGAGGAAGCACACACAGAGCAATTAGAGAACAAAGTAAGGGAACAGTAATTATGTGCTAAATTGTGTGGCACAGATTATATGTGCTTTAAGGAATAAAAAAAAAAACACACAAGAGCTCCATGTGAGCTGAATTTGAGATGATTTCCTTACTGGTCCATTTTTAAAGGAAAATAATAAATGGGTAAGAAACGCTCACATAAGGGTCCAGCAAGGCAAGGGCTGGCTGGGCAGAGAAGGAATGGGAAGACCTCGTGCCTGCCACTGCTGACTTGAGCCAAGCTCTGGGAAAATAAGACTTCCTCTAGTTCGTGCCTTAATTGTCCCATCTCAGCAGGGACATGGTGCCTGAGATCAGTGCCTGGAGAGAGTTGGCCAAGGTATGGGCCCCGGTCTGCATTTCCTTCGTTTGTTCTTCAAGCATATTAATGTCCCTCTATAGGTATTAAAAGAATCTGCTGAGCCTCTTAGGAAGACTCACAACCACCAGTCTCAAAATAGCTGCGCTTCTGGCCGGCTTTGTTACGCTCACAGGAGATGGCTTCACCTCTGCTCAGCAGAGCGGGGGTCCTGCCCAGGTCTCAGGGAATTCCTCCACCTGCGGGAGGAACCGTCCTGAATCGTCCAGCCAGGGGTGGGCTGCACTCCTGAGCGTGAGCAGTGAGCAGCGGTGGAAATCGCCAGCCCCAGCCAGCTTCGCCTCCCATCCAACTTCTCAGCCTGCCCAGGGGTGCTGGGGACGGCAGGTCCTGGGTGCAGCAAGGTGGCACAGAAGAGGGGCCTGTGCTCAGTGGCGCCCATCACCCTACATATCCCCAGATTCCCGCTGCTCCAGTGAGTACATCCTGGTTCTTTTATAACTTGTCTTTAAATCTCATTTCAATCAGACGGAAGCCAGGGTCCCTTGCTGACTCTTCTGCTGTCCAGAAGGACCGTCTGAGAGGCTTAAGTAAGGGGCTACAATCCCCTGCTGTCAGCAGAGGAGGTAGTGCGTGCCCAGGCCACTCTCTGGGTGCAGTTGGGAAGTCCCACGTGGGGAGTGAGGGTCCCCCAGGCTCCCCTCTAGCTGCAAGCCCTTTCCTGGGGGTCAGAGCACCTGTGGAGGAGACATCTGCATGTTCAGAGCACAGGTGGGTCCCAGCACACCGGATGATCTCTGCGGATTCAAGCATGCCATGTCAGGAGGCGGAAACCGTTGGACGGGCGCCTGCCCTGTAGATGGCAGGGTGGTGGCTCAGGGAACAGGCCCCCAGTGAAATTCCCACTCCTCACTGACCAGGGACATGGCAGGGGTATCCCTCAACCTCCTCCTGCAGGCAGAAACGCTAGGCCGGCACACAGTACAAGGCACAGGCCCAGAGCCAGGCAGCGCTCAGCCAGGGAAGCCTCTGAGGCCCAGCACTGGGCGAAGGGACGAGCCAGCGCAGCCGTTCTAGGGGTGGGGTGTTATGTGGTCATAGAAGGTCACCATGCCCATGTGGATGACTCCTACAGCATGCTGAAGAGCCGGCTGCGGAGGGCTCTGCAGGGCTCCATTGCCAGGGTGCGTCCAGAAGAGGCCGTCCCGGCAGGAAGTGCAATGGGAGTTGGGCGGGGAGGACTGCACGGGTCAGAGAGTGTTCCATGGAGCACGGACAGCTCTGGAAGGAGAGAAGTGATGTCCCACGCCCTCCTGACTATCCCCAGCACCACTGGTCAGTCAGTTCCACATTCAGCGTCTCAAGTGAGCTTGAGACACTTCAGATTGCTGAGGACCCTCGGTCCTGATCGGTGGCCACCAGCATCCGCGTGCCTCAGGTCTTGGCTCTGAGCCCGGATGGGTCCTGGCTCCTGCTCACTGTCCTGGGCTGTTTTCCCTCCAGGCCTGCGAGGTCACACCTCTCAGCCCACTGGCTGCTCCCAGGGCCATGGCACTGCCCTGGTTATCCCACCTCCGCTCTGCTCGCTGCTGCTGTGGGTGGGCTTCAGCACCACGCCTGCTCTCCTCTCCCTGCTCAGCAGCTGAACAGGGGTCTTCCCGGCTCTGGTTGGAGCCGACTCCTCCCCAACTCCTCCTGGTCTGCCTGTTTCCCAGCTGGACCAGTTTTCTGGCTCTCCCCATCTCCAGTTGGCTTGCCGTGAGTGCGAGGAGCCCATCGAGGTGAATCTCTGGGACTTCTGTCACCACTGTAAGGACACCATCCTGCAGGACAGGGCTTCTCACTGGTGGGCCTCTGCTCCAGGACAAGCACTCCCAGGCAGAGAGATGAGCCACAGAACATCTCCGGAGGGAGAAACTCGCTCCCCTGTTTGCTGAAGCCGATGCACACAGATGGCTTTCACCCTCACGGCCCTTCCTTCACCCCGGGACCCTCCTCTCCTATGACCCACTGAGGTGAACATCTCTGTCTCCACCTGAAGCCTTTGCATGATAGATCAGGGGTCTGCAATTGAGCCCTCATTTAAGTTTGGTTCACCTGCTCTGTGATTAGAAGTGTTTTGGAGTGAGAGGAAGATCCGACTTGAAATCTTGCTAGGGACATTCTTTTCGGATGCTTATGTAATAAATAGATTTAATGATGATGCTTCACCCTGCTTTTCTGTGTGTGCATTTCTGGGTCAAAATAGTGGAAGTGGCTTCTTTATTCTCTGATGTTTGCGGATTGGCTCTGGAAGCCTGCAGGGGCTGGCGGGAGGTTTGAGAGTGGCCTGAAACCTCAGAGGTAAGCAGGAAACTCACCGGAGGCAAAGCCACCAGGCTTCCCACCAGGGCAGCCCTGGGGGCTTCCACCTGCTGTTCTGGGTCCTGGGGCCAAAATCCCACCAGGGTTAGAACAAACCCCGGGCCAGCAGGACCTTCAGATCCAGGGCAGGATCCCTTGCATCAAAGGTCAGAAAGCGTTCTCACTGGTCTCGAAGGAAGTAGAAGTAATCGCCTCAGAACCTCTGGGTTAATAGAGGCTATTAATGGAGCAACCCTGAGCTTCGAAATCAGAGGGTCCAAACAGGAACAGCGACCACGGAGCAGGTCTGCCTCTGGCCCCAGGTCTGACTGTAGACTCCAGAACCTTCCATACGTCGCCAACTTAAAATGCTCGGAGCTCCCTCCCTGATTTAATGACTGAAAGTGGACCAAGCTCTCTGCACTCATTGGCAGTGTCTGCTCGGGGACCGGGGATGGACGTGTTCCTCCCCATGAGCTCATGAGGGACACACAGAGAACAAAATGCTGGAAAGACAGACGGATGAGAGCCCTGGCCCATGTGCCCGGACTCGTCTTCTAAGGGAAATGGTGCCTCTGCATTCCTCTTCCACTGCCCCGTCCAGTCCCCGGCATCTTTCCCCTCGGCGTCGCTCTCTGGGATCTGGCTCCAATGCAGAGTTCTCCGGGTTAGAGAAAGTGAATACTTTGTGTGTCCCGCTTCTCAGAAGAGACCTTGTCCACTCAAATTTCCCAATTCAATCTTATCTTTTAGCAGCTTTCTCCTTCTTTTAGTTAAAACTGCAAGACGAAATTATCAAAGTGAGCGTTTTTATGGGTTTCATCTGATGAAGGAAATAATTAGCATTTTCCTGTCTTTTAATGTTTCCAATAAAACATGCAAACACTTAACACAGCACTAGTTATGTGCCAGAAAATCCTGTGTGTTTGTACACATATGTCAGGGTATTTGGTCATCACAGGTGGTAAATGGAAAACTTAGGCAGAGAGTTTGCAGGGTCTGCCTGCAGCTGTATGACATCTGTGGGAGAAGGAATTGATTGACCATCAGGCAGCAATGCCCCAGCCTTTGCTGAGATCCCACACACACCTTATAGAAAGCTTGGAAAGAAAGAAAACCATCCATAACCTCATAGAACCTTCTCTCAGATGCCCTTCTTTCTCATAGATACATGTTTTGGAGAATAAAATGATATTACACGTTCACGTTTCTATCTTAAATCCTTTGTCTTACTGTATGATTTTCATTTATTATTATAATTATTAAAAAATTTTATAGTTGTAGATGGACAGCATGCCTTTATTCTATTTGCTTATTTTTGTATGCAGTGCTAAGGAACTAACCCTGTGCCTCACACATTCTAGGTCAGCATTCCGCCACTGAGCCTTAGCCCCAGCCCTTATTTATTATTTTTGATAGCTGCATACTCTTCCAATACATGACTTTTATTTACTTTATTGGTCTTCTGTTAA